TGCCAGGGGAGCGCAGCATCACGCGGGTGCGCACCGGGGCTCCAAGCGACCAAGGACACTTCAAGGGCTCCCAGGAGCAAACTCCTTACACAAAGAATCTCATGTGCCAAAACACGAGTGCAAAGCCCCTCAGCTGAACGCCCCGGCCGCTCCAAGCCCTGCCCTCCACGCAGGCAAAGGAACCATAAGCACATGGCAAAGCTCATTTACTGAAAAGGACACTTTTTCACTGCCCCGCTACCACTTCAGCTCCTCCTCCAGATGACCTCCTCCTCTGGTGATACAGAGTCGTGGCTCGCTCTGAGGACAGCAGTCCGACCAACCGTCACACTCTCAGAAGGTCCCTCTGCTTTTCGCTGCTCCTGAAAGCGCTTGGTGTCCCTACGTACGCACGCACACCACATTCGCCTGGGATTTCGCATTCGTACGGTACAGGAGCACACGCAAATAAATACAGTATGGCTAACTAACAGTTGCATATTCAGCATGCAGAATTCCACCAGCTAAATGAAAGGTGTGACTCAGATTGGGGCTTTTTTTTCATTCCGTTGTGAAGATGAACATAAACCTTCATTTTTAGCCTGGTGCAGCATATAGGCAGTGTTAATTTACTCTTTAATATAAAACAACTCTTCGAACCGCAACTCACTAAAAGCAGTGTATATAAATCAAGTTAATTAGTTTTTGGCAGTTTCTTTGGACAGTCTCTTGTTGAAACATCCCCCTTTTTCTTTAGAGAACGTTTTTCACGCAAGGGATAGCAAACCAGGACTCTCGCTTACCTGCGCCACAGGCCCGGGGCCCAGAGCAACGTACCCGTCACCCCCGCCGCTCCCACCACTGCTCGCACTCTGAGCTCCGGCCCCAGCAGCCAAAGCTGCTGCGCTTCGCTGCTGGCACTGGCCTCACCGCCTTAAGCATCACATGTACAGAAGTTGCATATAAAAAGAATGACAAAGTCAAGCTGTTAGAAGTCAAACTGGTAGAAAAAGGAAAGAGTTTTGTTCTAGCGGATCTAGCTCTGCTTAGTGTCCTTTCGGAGAATATTGCCCGTCTCAATTCCGTATCTCGGGGTAGATGGAGTTTTTCAGCCTGGCAGGCCAAAGGAAATACCTGTAACTCAACCTCTGCCGCTTCACCTTGGCCTGGAGCCCGACTCTCCCAGCACGCCGTACACCTTTATCGGGAGACCCCGAGGCTCTCCGGAGTCTCCTCGAGGGAACCTGCTTACAGAGTACGCGCTGCCTTTGGTTTATACAGCTTCTCTAGTTCAAAGGGGAGCAGAAGGGAAAGCTCGCGTGTCATCGTGGTCGTTCTTCATGGCAACGGATGGAAGGAGCGATGAGCAACACTACTACGTCTCAGTACGAGATGTCAGGGCAAAATCGAACCACTTCTAGCCGTGCCTCAAAGACACAACCACCAGAAACCTAGCTTCACCTGCTGCGATCAACGAAGGCTTTCAGCTCAGTGGGAAAGTGAAACTGCACTGCTGCTCCCACCAGAACAGTGGCTAAAACCCGAGGGCCCCCCCCGGTAACCGCCACGTGGTTCACCCACCCCACTGCGCTCAACTTGTGCTTTCCAGAGGCCTCTCGGAGCCTGGAAGGCAGAAGTCGGCCCCGTTCCCTGAATGAGCCTCCTGGGTTACAGCACCAAGCAGTGGAGCCAGAGCAAGGCTTCCATTGCACATGCCCATTTTCAAACAGGAACAACTACGAGAACGCACAGAGCGCGTGCTGGATTTCGACAGTGATCGCCAGGTGAAGCCTGGTTGCTCATCGCAATACTGAACATGTTGTCTAGGTCTCGGATAGCAGGGCCTCACTTCTACCCAAAGAGTCCTCCATTTGTTTACTAACAAATAAGTTATTATTACAAGTCATAGCTCATCCTTTTCCATCATTTCAAATGCTTCTATATCTTCATTCCAGTCTGCTAGTATGGATTCCATAGGTTGGACTTTGTTATCCCAGTTCACTTTGGAATTTGACTCCGTCTCGGTCTTTTGTTCCTGAGGCTGGGGGGCCCCCTTCGCTCACCCCGGCTCCGGAGCACCAGCCCCATCGGTTCCGGGGACGTAGGAATCCTGATTTGAGATGGGAACGCTCTCACTGTCCGTGTGAGCAGCAGATAAAGGATCGGGGTGAGAAGCATCAGAACGTCCTCCTTCTTCAGGCTCCTCGCTGACCGCACCAGCATCCTGAGATGCTGCAGTAGCTTCTTCTGAATTCTCTTGATGCGAGTCGTTTTCAGGCAATTTCTGGTCCATATTCTCCATTTCCAAGTCTTTGAGAGGGGAGAAAAAAAAAAGTTTTGGAAAAAATAACTACAAAGGCAGCATTTTATGACATATTTCAAAAGCAAGGTCACTTCCCTTGGCCTTATTCCCAAAAGGAAGCGCAGACTGTCCATTGACACCATAATTTACTGTTATTAGGGGGCATATTTTACAGAGGGAGGCAAGGGAAGACATTTAAACACATTTTAAACGAGGGCAAACAATACACCGAGACTAGTTTAGGTTCGTCAGATTCGAACAGCGACTTCTGGGTCAGTGCTAGTTGCCACCCTTTAGCCTTACGCAAACCCCCACTGCGCACACTGAACTTCCACACCGGATTTCCACGCCCTCCCAGCTGCACCAGGATCCTACATCCAAGCAAGTGGGAGTCCGATGGAGTTCTGTGAGTTTACTGCACCGCGAATTCGAGAGAGCGCCAAAGCCAAAGCCTCGCTCACCACATCCCCCCTCAAAGCCCCTAACAGCCGTAGCTGAAGCACCCGTTTAGCTTTACAAGGGCTGTCCCATCTAACCACGCCGACTTCTGCGCAGCCGGGTGTCTACAGCCAGTACACAGGACACCAATATTGCAAGATTTCTAGGGAGTTTAACTGCATACGCCATTTTTAACACGGGATACTTACTGCTATCAATAATGTAGTTTGGAATCATTTTACCTTTAAAGATTGTTGCTGGGATTCCAAACGGAAGCACGAGGAGGGAGGAAGAAGCAGATAGGCATTACAAACTCTCAAATGCAGAGCTATCTTTTGTGTTTAGCATTTTGCTAGAGCATCTCAACCGCAGTTAGAAACAGGAGGAATCTGTAAGCAGCTAGGAAGAAACAATGCTGTGGCTTTCGGCATATCAGCTTTGCAAGCGTGCAGAAAATTAATGCTGTCCCTGGTTTACCAGAGAGACTTGTTCTCACGTGCTCTGCCTGGACAAAGCAGCGCTACGAGGAAGCCTTACGAAAGGAAAACCTAGAATTTTCTGCCACATGCCAGCATTTTAATGGGGAATATATTAGATTGCAATTTTCTTGTACTACACAAGAAAAGCTGCAAAACATCTGAGGTCAGCAGCCTGATTTCTCGTGATAACCACTTCTCCTTAGATAGGCAAAACACTTCTAATGGCCGCCTCTTTCCTTCTGGGTCCCAGGAACGTCACTGGGGAGCTGGATGAGAGAGAGGCCCTTCCAATGCAGGGCACTGCAAACCCTGACGCTACTTCTCACGCTACTTCAAAGCGGGTCATGACAAAAGGGGTTCCAAAGGAATCCAAAGGGCTGTATTTCCTCATTAGGCAAAGAGTTTTAACTTCCCAACAGCATTTCTGGATGCTAATGCTAACTTGGGGGGGGAGCAGATAATGACACATCTCAGATAATGGCTTTCTTCTGAAAAAACTAACCCCGATGTCAAACAGAAAACCAGAACTACCAAATAATGCTCCGGCACCTTCAGGGAGTGAAGAAATCATCGCTGCACGTTTCACACTGTGCCGCGGCACGGACGGAAGCTGAGTTTGTGTAAATCCCTCTGATCTTACCTCTGTCTTTTGCTTTATCGGAAAGGAGCACCTCCACAGCCTCGTACTCCCGGATGGCATCCAGTATAATGCTGCCTTCCTTGTTGAAGAGGAAGAGCATGGGAATCGTGATATCGTCTGTGTTCTTCCCATCGCAAAGGAGAAGCAAGCAAACCTCCTGTTAGCTACACAGACGATGCCTCCGGACCACGGCAGACACTGAGCAGCTCGCCACTGCCCGGGCTGTTAAGAGGATCCCAGGCAGAAAAGAGCAAGGCAGGGGTAGAAAGCAAAAGGCCAACAAGCCAACTTGTGTACTGGCTTTCCTTGACGCTTTTCATTTCTGTCTCAGGTCTTCCTCAGCAGTTGGTAGATAGCACTATTCCAACACTCAGTGATCCTTAAAGTTAACAACTTTTAATCTGCAAAAACACTGACAATCACCCATCCCCATTCCTTTAGCTCCACTTTCTGTGCAGAACCAGACAGAACCAACACTCTCCTTAATCTTCTGAAAGCACAATTTCTGTGTTGGAGTACTGTCATCTCAGAGTCTAACAGCTCCTTGTCAGCTTTCTAGGATCTTCAAATCTGTAAAATACAGCTTACACAAAGAACTTTAACGTTTTATTTACCAATAACAATGCCTCCTATTGCTCCAGCTTTTTGAATGTTTCGTGCCTTTTCAGCAAACATACATTGGCCTCTCTGCATCAGAGCAATTTTTTCTTTCACTGCCTCAGGATTAGTGATCTCTGAGCATCCATTATATGGCTTAATGGTTGCAACAAATCCTCTTGTCTGTTTGGAGAAACAAAAGCAAACGGAAAGAGAGAATTATAGCACCAGGTTCCAGCTTGCAAAAGATTCCTACGCCTTTTCAGTTCTTCAGTTGATCTAATGCATTTGGTGTTGTCTTCTGCCAGTGCAGCCAATCTGTACCCTGAAGCTGGAGTGAAAACGACAGAGTGAAAACCTAATTCTCATACTCTGTGGATTTTGTCTACACCTTTGAACCATTATCTCTGGAAACTGCTGTTCTGTGAACTGCTAATCTGGAACTCCTCTTCTGGGCTGCACCTCACCCAACCGAAGTCATTAGGTTTTCCTACTGCTTCCAACAGGGACCACTGCCTCTGTGATGTTTTCTTCTTCCATCCAGATACCACCTTTTATAAAAGCTAGCACAAGAATAGCCTGCTCTAACTCTAAAAGGGCTTCTGCAAATTCATGGCTGACATGGCATGAAAACCCTCCCTTAAACTAACATCTCTCAAGATATGCACTGCAGATTACGCAAATTTCTTTCACAAATCGCACTGTGTATGCATTTTAAATCCTACATCATGACTGACGGCTCAGGTGCAGAGCACAGGCTACAGACCGACAAGCCACCCATCTAAAAGACTGGCACTGCTGCTCCCTGGCACTTTAATCACTGCAATTAGTTGACCACCCTCTCACTGGCCACCCTGAAACAGCATCAGTACTGCTAAAACTTAGGCTTATGCAATAAGGAAAGTAACAGAAAGCTAGGAGCAGATGACATAGGCATCTTACATACCCCTGCTTTGTGTTTGGACAAGTCCATCCCAAATTGTGCTGGTCCAGCAGTCAAGACCACCCTGCCGAAGAACGGATGCGAAACAATTTGAACAGCACGAGGAGGTAGCTGTTGCTCTTTCTGCTGCTGACTGGAGAGTTCAATCATCTCCTGCATGAACCGTAAGCCATCTTCAGCATCAAGTGAGCTTGCTGCCTGAGTAGTAAAGAAATGATGAACAGTTTCTTCTTATACGTTTGAGAAACTTGGAAAAAAAAAAAAAGTTGAAGTTCTGTTTGCTTGGACCACTGCTACAAAGATTTTAAAATACAGAGTGGATGCTCACTGGCACTCTTCCAATCATTTCCAGTAAGGAAGTTAACCTTTTAGCGTCTCCATCACACCAAAGACTAAAACCATAAAAACATCCAGACTTCCTAAACCAATGGAAGTATCTGACACCGAACGGTAGTGTTTTCAGATCCGATGCTGTTAGCTACATCACTGACATCAACAGCCTCCATTTAATTTAATGGAAGATTAGTTAAAAGTGTTGCTGAGGCAAAATATTAACAAACACCAGCCCGCTAAATGTAGTTGTGTATCCAGCTCCTGTGTCCCCTCTTCCACAGTCTGGCTGTCCCTCTGGAACCTCAAAGTGCCAAATATCACCGCTAGCAGGATTTTACTGAAAGGTTTCAAAAGGAGTACTGGCAGCTCTTACTTGCACTGCATGCTGTACTAATTGTACTCTTCCATCTTTCAGATGAATCAAACTGACTCCCATCTTCTTCAGTATCTCCAAGTGTTCAGGGTTACTGGCCATGAAATCTCTGGCTCTCAGTGGTGGTTTTGGTCCGCTTCCCAAACTCTCTTCTCTGCCAAAAGATATTGGAGACCAAAGCTTTAAAAAACAGGCTATTCTCGGAACACAACTCTCACATTATTCCTACCACTACACAATTAGAATCCTTTGGAATACTGGTGAGCAGAAGCTTCACTAGAACACAACTTCTCAGTCAAATTATCTTTTTCAAAAGTCGTTGATATTATCAATAATTTTATAGTGCAAAAAAGCACAGGCAACGTTGATAACAAAACCACCATATGCTGTCTCTCATTTCTAAGTAACCTGCATTATGGTAAGACTGACTAAAACCAGTTTTGCTCATACAGTTGCTACTCAGTTTTACTCTTGAAGTTTAATATCGAAGAGGTTGCCAGAAGGACAAACTTCCTCAGCCTTAACAGACTGTACAAAACCCTTCAAAAGAGGTGAAGTTACGTAAGGTAGCATGATTCGCTTACTACAAAGAAGAGTTGCAGAACTGTTCAAGAGACAACAGAAATTAATTTTACAAACCAGAGAGATATATTTCCTCTAATACCTGGGCTACAGTTCCCACTTGGAGTATGTGGAACCTAACGGATTTCTCCCTGTAGCGAGACTATCCACTCCAAAAGGAACACGAAAAACAGAGCAACCTCCCCTGCACCTCACATTTCGCCTTCCATGCATAACAGACTATTCCGCTCACTCCTACACTAACAAAAGACAGAAAAATATTCATCTTACGCTCTGGAAATACCCCTAGGACAGCTCTTATCCACCACGTTTTTCAAAGGTTCACGAATACTCTGAGCAAACATAGGGTCGTTCGGGAACAGAATCTGGGTGTTGGGACAGGTCCAGTCAAAGTTGCTGTCATCCAGCTCCGTGTATTCTGTAGTCTAAGATGAAAGGAACAGATCACCTATTACAAATGCAGGTTACATTTTTATACGAAGATCAACAACAGACAGACCTACCCTTCAGCAGTCTGTGTGCTCGGGGCACGGACCAGCTGAATGCAATAAGTGTCCCACAACCTACTTGAAAAAAAACCCCAACCGTTTGCAACATATTAGCTAATTAAAAATCGAGATTGTTAGGGAGCCTTTAAATAGAAGGCCTAAAAGGCTATTAGTTCACTGGAATAAACACTTTCAAGTACCTATGCTCTCAGCGTGACAAACAGCAGTCCCATAGCTGAAGAAGGCCCTGCAAGCACTATTGCAAGCATCAGCGTAGTAAGACACGACTTTTCCTGTTTATAAGAATAAATACAAACAGGATGGTGGGTCCCTACTACCAACTATCTCACAGACACTTCAGCTTACTAGCACTGTGTTTATATGAAAAATAATTTACACGTTCCATTTTTTCTTATCAATTGTTTTCCCCCATCAGATAAATTCCATGCAGGAGCAGCACACTCCTCTTCACAGCCTTTTAGCCATTTAACACATTTTGTTGACACCATTTTCAATGGATCTTTCTTACTTGTATTATGCACGTTAGCAGCTTTGACTTAAAGAGCTTAAGAAAACAGCATTTGAACAATTTACTCTACCTTCTCTATCGGCCTTTTATTAACATTTGCTGCTCTCTACAAGAAGAGAACTACCTAGGTCAGGCCAGCACTCCACACAGCATCAGCTGCGGGAATCCTGTCTGTCTCAAAAGTCTCAGCTTCTCACACTGGGAACGAAACTTAGATAAAAGGCTCCTTCAGACCCTTCAGAGAACTGCTCGCACAGTTTAAAAAGCATAGTCTCCATTTCCAAAACTCAAACGATCACAAATGCTGAAGGAAGAGCCTTCAGAGAGGGTGCAGGATCTCCATCACCAAGGATCACGAGAAACCAACCCTCTGTTAAATGCATGACCAATGTCAGACATTAACAGCAAGCAGCTAAACACTTTTCACCGTCTAATGCCACAGTCCATAAACCAGGGTGCTTTCTACTCAGTTTTAAGACTTCTCCAGGACACATGGCTCGACACACAGCGTGAGCATTCTCCTCTGATCCAGGCATTATTGTAAAACACATAGTAAAGGGCAACAGTAGAGGCACCCTAACATAAGGGAATTTACATCCCCCATGCCCCAGACACCTCTCTCTCCACTTTCTCATGCATTTTTTTTGCTTGTCAGTAGTATTATTGCCTTAAACATTAATTATATCACCTTATGGAGCCCAAAACAAAAAAAAAAGAGATGAGTATTTATGATGCTTCACGGCACAGTTGTATTACTATAGGTTATTTTGGAAGGTTAAGTAATTTATAAACCCATAAATGTTCTCACATTTACACAATAGATGCCTATTGCATGGACTAAAGCAATTAAATATCCCAAAAGCTACAGCTGTATCTTGTCAAACCGATATTGTAGCAGTCTCAAAAAAAAAAAAAAAACAACTTTCAAAATTTTCCAAGGATTCCTGTAGTAAAATAAGCAAAAAAAACTTTTGGCACGTTGTCGCAAATGTTTTAGAAAAAATAACAGGAAATAAAGATGAAGATAAAAATATCACAGCGTGCTATTTTCAAATTTATACAGAGATGGGGAATGATTTTCTTTCTAAATATTGCTAATATTCCACAGCTTTTTTCTCAAGACTCAGCGGTGCAGAATCCAGTCATGGAAACATTATTCATATTCATGTGACTGTCACTGTTATTATGATTAAACAGTTCATATTAAATGAAGTGTTAAGACTGGTGTACTTCTTCAAACTATGATTCTTCCCTATTTTTCTTCCATTTCTTCTCATAAAATAGAGGAACTGCTTCAAATCACCATTAAAACCAATTTAAATTTGAACTGTTACTCACTGTATTTTTTTTAGAGATGGTTTGGTTTGCAGTGGAAAGCCACAGTGGCAACAGATGAGCTTCTGTAGTGAAGATATAATCTTCAATGTCGAAAACCATGTCTTCCTTATCGGCAAACAGCAGGTAAAGGTATTTAAACATCTCAGCCAGAAAGAAAGAGTCCATTCTAGGGAAAAAAAAAATGGATGTCCTTTAGTCAGATCCCCTTTTTTCTGAAACATCAGTAAACAAATATTCATCTTGCTCCATCTCTGAAGACTTCGTGACTATTATTGTCAAACTTAATTCCATCAGCATTCCTTCCAGTTGGAAGAAACTGTGTTTGGAGGGAAATGATTCAGCATGTTCAGTACAAACCAGCATTATAGAAAAAACAAATCAACCTCTTTACAAGCTTCTAGATTTGAAGTATATTTTGTTTGAAAGTAATTCATCTGTTGCTCTGAGACAAAATGTTATTAAACCAAAAATATTCTTACATAACAAACTGTAAAACTATTGAAGGGGTTTATACACTATGACAAACAGGTAATTTAAGACTTGGTTATCAAACTGAAGACAGACAGCTACTCAGAAGTCAATTAATTCAATTATATGAACAGGGTAACTAGATTTCTTTTTCCATAATCTTTTTACGAAAAAAATTACTGCAGACGTTTTACCTGTCTTCATGACTTCCTGTACGAACATCCTTCATGGCAGCAAACCCACAGGGGACTCTTGCATACTTGTTCAAGTTTTCAATGAGTGTTTTTCCTACTTCTAGATAGTAAGGGTCTCCAGTAGCCTATCGAAGAAAAACAAACAAACCAACCCCCAAATCAAATATACAGCTGCACTTAGACTTACTGCACAATTAGCAGCTTCCCTTTTCCTAATACTAAGTTATTGATTCCATACCGTCTCAGCCACCAGTGAAGTCTGATTTACTAATAGTGCTAAACAGCCACAGGAGAAACTCCTGAGATGCCACTGCACTACCTTTTACAGATACGCAGATAAGCACACGGAAATACTTACAGAAACGCAAGACACTTCAGCACTGCTCTTCTCGGCAAGGTACACGTGGCTTTTGTTCTTAGTTTCTGAAATCTCTTTAAGAGAGATCAGCAAACCTAAATATCTTTAAAAATACGGGCCTGTGTCACTTAACAGTTTTCTTTGTTTCTGATTCTAGGCATCGAATAAAACTAAATTTTTAGAACATTATTTTTGATAACCAGTACTTTCATCTTGTTGATATACAGAACTGGCTCCAGTAGACGAAATAAGCTGGAGATAGGCTACTCATTCTGTACTGAAATAAAACACCAGCAAAATTCTAGGTGCTAGACAAAGTGACCAGCAGTCAGAGGAACGAAAGCGATCTCACCTTATACAAGAAGTAAGTGCTTTCGGCAAACTCCGGCCTCAAAGGATGCTGAGCCCAGTGAACTCTAAAGTCTGTGGTGAATGCCTGAGGAAGAGAAAGAACAGACAAAAATAAATGCAAGAATAAAAACCAAGCATAGGTTTATTTTGGATCTTATGTTAACTGTATTAGAACAGCTGTTTATTTTTGTCTATTTTATTTATTATTTTATTTACAATTACTATTGTTATTATTACTATTACACAGCCACGGAGGACTGAAGGCCCAACACCAGTCTCCGGAGGCTGTAAGAACTCCTGTCCAGTTCGCACATTTGAGGCCAAAACCGACACCAGTGCTCCAGCCCCCTTGGTGGGAGCGAGATTCGAGCCTGTGCAGGAGCCTGGACACCACCCAGCCCCCTGACACGTGCCCGGCAAGCGCAGCGCTGGCGAGAGGTGCTGGACAAAAACCTGTGCTCCGGACCCAGGCGGCGGGACGCAGCCCCAGCCGCTCTGTCAGCGCCAGCACGCGGGGCTGCTGCCAGCCAGCCGAAGCCGCCCGGAGCAGGGCCACTGCGTAGGGACCACCTGAGCTTTGACAAATCCCATTTTTGCAAACACACTGGACACTTCCAGTGCATTAAACTGCCACTTCAGACTGACAGATCGTAAGCAGCTGCTCCTGACAAAAGAAATACCACAGACTAGAAGTCAGCTTCCTAAAAATTTCCTGTGTCTATGTACTCACTCCTAACATGCACTGGCAAAAGCCACTTCTGCGATGGCTCACATTCACTACTAGTTCACACTAGGGTTTAAACCAAGTCTTTGCTGAAGGGGGTGGCATATTGGCTTAAATACAACCAACTGATCGTTCACAGTTTCCTTCCTAAGTACAAAGCACTGAAAAAACAACCGGAAGAAATCCTAAGGAGCCAAATCATACCATTTTAAAAGCACTCAGAAAAAGTCATTCCAGTGCTTAGAGAGCCTTCTTTGGTCTCCATTTCCACATCAGGCGAATGTGATGTTAATTAAAATGTTCTCTGACAGAAATAAGCTGACACCAGCGGAAAGCCAAAATGACAAAAGGAGTCAGAAGCTTTCGCACCTCTTCTGGGTCACCACAACACAGAGACTCACTTCAGCAGCTACACAAGCTTTACAGCGCAGAATGAACTTGCTCAAGGACTGCACTTTCAGTACCTGCAGGTGAGTTTGTGTACCTGCTTCCAAGGGCATTATGCAGAATTTCAGCACGTTCTCTCAGAACAGTTCAGCCTTCAGTTTCCCTCCCTGGGTTAATAATGATGCTGTGATCCTTATCTGCTCAGTGATGTAATAGCATTAATGCTACGACTGCATGTGCTTACACAAGTTTTGCATACTGAAATGAGTCAAGGTCAGTTCTGAAAGGCTGAAATATGAAGTCTAAGCAATTATTAGCAGGAGCTTCCTATTATTGCGTTAATTACAGCGTAACTGAAGGAAAAATATTTCATCTCCAAAACCCAGCTGCCATACATACAGAACTGCAAGTCACATCAGCACGCTGTGGAAATGCGCCTTTGGCCTTCATGACACATATACCTACTATTTTCAAATGGGCATCTGAGACTGCTCAAACTGAGGTAAGAATCAGTTCACACGATCAAAACATTACTACCTTACCTCCGGAAGAAAGTTATGCTTTTTTATAACCTGATAGAGCATCTCGTGAGTTTCAATAGCAGGTCTGATATCGCCCTTCAACACCTAGAATCCAATAATAAAATTAACATTAATTCACCATGCATAGGAATAATATTCAAAGTTGGGCACACTCACTGTGTTCAAGTAAAGCTACAGACCAATTTCTACACTCCCAGCAGATACATACGGTAAATATTAACCCCTTTCAGTGTAAGCCACAGATGTTCCATAAGAGCTTTCTAAGCAAAATCAGCGACCTCATTAAGACTACTGCCTATGTAGAAAAAGGATCTCGATTATTTACAGAGAACTGTGGTGGAAATGTGATTTAGTTTGTCTTGAAGACATAAAGGGCAGACAAACTAGAAAACTTGTCACTAGACTACCAGTCATTGATGACTAGAGTGAAGGAAGCAAATCATACAGACATACTTTTCTTGATACTCACCACAGCCAGAAATGCACGTGAACGTGCATCGCAGCACTGGAGTGACAGGAGTGAGTATGGCAATCCTCAGTCAGTGTTTTTGAAAATCAAATTACTGAGTTTGTCTTGCCAATTATAGATTCATATTTAATCGTTTACTTGTTATTAAAATCATCTGTACAGGGGTTTTAAACCTTACCTGCAATCCAGGGAAGAAAGCCAGCAAAGAATCCATCCATGTCCTAGCATTTAGCATTGGTTTATGAATATGAACATCAAGAAGCAGAGGTGGTTGGCTAATGTATCTCATTATGGCATCGTAGTGCTGACAAACATCAGAAAAATCACGATGTTATAACATCAATACATTTTATAAAGCAGATATAGATCACCAGACTACGGTATTTTATTTCAACAGAAGAACCAGTACTACCCTCCGCATCATTATTACATTTGGCAACACACAGTAGCCTCTAGTTTTGCAAACTAAAAAGCACAGTAAATACTGAAAAGCTCCACAGTATTACACACGCAACACATGTCACATTTCCGAGTAATACACAGACACAACAGCATATTCAGCAGTCATGTGCTAAACAAGTAGCTAGCACAGTTCAGGCACATTTGTTTTGGCCGAGTCTTTAAGCATATGCTAAACGAAGCTGAAATTGCTTTCTCTGAATAAGCGAATTCTAAAGTAAATGCATCTCAGGAGGAGAAGGGGAATAGGAGGTATAAAAAAACCAAGCAGCAGCTGGGCTTGATTGCTCAGAAGAACTTTAAAAGCCACTAGCTCACTTCTCAACTGCTGTCTTCCAGTCCTACACCCCCCAAGACAACAGCCCTTCTTGTGTGCTGAAGCAGTCACGAGCACATGAGCCAAATTGACAGGAGACAGTTAATAGACACAATTGAGGCAAAATATAATAATGGTGGCTGCAGGTTAGGAGTATGAAATAATTATCACACTTAAAGTGTTGCAACAGGCCTTTAGCTACTGAATTATTCCTATTTTAATACTGCTTATGACATAAAATCATGCTATGCAATATAAAATTATTTTATGATACAAAGTGTTCTTATGGGATATTATTATTTTCAAAAGAAAGGATACTTCTGTGAGAGAATAATGATGCTGACAAAGTTGCTTAATAATCTTACAAATTTAGTAATCTAAGCATGCTTTTCAGCTTGAAAGTATACTTCAGTGTATACTGGGCCTTAGGATCTGCAGCGCAATGCAAGACCCCGACTGTGATTTTCAGATCTTTTTGGCTGCTGCAGGACGGAAAGAAATTGTACCCCAGTTTGTAACAAGAGGCCCTTATGTTGTTTCACAGAAACATTTGCAGTATTATGCTCTCCAAGGTGATCTTGAAGTACAGCTTCTGCCGTACTGGAAACATGGAAAAAGGTTCAGAAGATTCCGATTTTCACTGGATGGGGTTAAACCAGCCGCTCGGATGACAGCTCACCCAAGATCAGCAAAAGCACATATTAAAGAGAGCTGGCACTAGGCACATCAGAAGTCACAGGAATTCTGCTACAGATCTCTTCCTAGGCGTCTCAGGCTAACAGCTGGCTGACAACACAATTAGCCTTCAATTTGTCTTACAGAAGGCACAAACCTGAGCAAGGTGTTCACTTACCGTGTTAAATCTTTCCAGAAAACTGTCATCTCCCAGCAAGACATAGGCTTTTAATAAATATTCATAGTATGAATCTATCCCTGCTCCAACTCCACTATCTGGAAACAGCAGTAAAAGAAAAGGTGGTTTCACTTTAAGTAACTGCAAGGGTATTTTCACTCGGTTTCATTTTGATTTTAAAGCCTCTTTCAGCAAAAGGAAAAGCCTCCTATCACTAGAATTGAGGCACAGATGCATGCAGAGACACAATACTGTACGGCTACGCCAAAGGCTTTGCAATATCAGTGCACGTAATAATAAACAGACAGGCATTGAAGCCAGTTGTTTCACTTTTCTCATATGAAAATATTTCTACTGGCTGCCATAAATAACCACAGTCCTATTTATATTTTCCCTATGTATTTATAGTAGAATCTCTGAAAATTTATCCCAATGCATTCCCCTCTCAGGATTAAAGGGAATCAGAGGACTCTTTCTTTCCAGTGAAAAAAACTAGGTTCCCTACCAAAACAGCCTTTCAGAGCAAAGCCAGGCTTCGTTGTCGCAGGCTTCTCTGCGCTGAACTTCTGTAACTCCTCTTGCCCACCCCATTAATGCTTTTAAATAGTCCAAGTAAGTGTGGTGGAAGGAGGGGATGTCAAGATTTTTTCCTTGCTCAAAACCACTTGCGGTCATCAATTCCGCGTCAGAACGCCACGCACCTTTGCGGACCCAGTCTCCAGTGTGAATATTAATAGTAACACCCACTAAGTTGCTGCTGCGCTGTCTCTTTTCCCAAATAAAATCAAGCGCTTTCCGTGCATATTCCTGCAATCACAAAAAATGCTCATTAAAGGAAACAAGACGAACCCAGATAGCAAAGACTGTTATTCTTTTGTTTACTGAAATTTAAGTTGCTATGAAGGAATAAGATGTTTCAGATCTAACAATTTTAAAACTCAGTATTACATTACATACACTTGAATCGTATGATTTGAGCCCACAGCATACAGTCACTCAGTTGCTGATGAGAAAGAACGGTGCTTGACTACACAACCACTTGCCATTACACTGTACGGTCTCAGGCAAGTCAAACATCCTTCTGCATGCATCTCCTACTCTAAAATTGTGCAGACAGACAGGATACTGGAACCTAATTAAAATCTTTCATAAAATAGAGCTTCCTTAGAATCAAAACCGCTGCGTCTTCTCAGGCGTCTCAAGGTGGAGCAGCAGCCCCTGTTCACTGGTACGCAAGTTTCAGACATTCTCTACACACACAAAATTAACTTGCAGGTAACAACCCACCCAGCAAAAACGGCTTTAAATCACCAAAGGCATGGGTGGGATTTTAGGAGGCAAGTTTTGCCAACATACACAGCACAGGCCTGGCTATGCTTCCAATGGGTTCCACGGCACGAAATGAAACACCAGGCCCGTACTGGAAGATTTTAAAAAATTCTGACCTGAAAAAGAGCTTGCCTTTTTTTTTTTGTATCAGATCAAAGAAGCCACACCTGCAAGCTTTTTCATCTAGCTTTCTGCTGACAATAAACCCTTAGCTAGGTCTTGTACATGTTCAGTGGGACTATACGAGTGCAGGGGGGTTTATTTTTTTTAAGGACCAAGTATCTCACTTTTCTTCTCACTAGTCCTGACCCCTCTACCCCCCCAAAAGCATTATCCTTTAGCTACTCTTCAGTATATTTATCTTGTTTACTTCTGCATTACTGTAACTACTTTCAAACAAAATTGCTTCCTGTGGTTTTTTCAAATCGCATTAATATTTAGAGAAAAGCCCGCAAACACAACAAATCTGCACAAAACTTTTTTGTGCAGAACAGCTAAGACATGCACCCATTTCATTAACTCAAAATTGTTTTTCCAAAATTAGAGAAATGTAACAGAATGCCAATGAATACCTAACCCAAAAAATAAGAGATCATGGAAAGCAAACCTCAAATACAGCTGTTCCTGTGAATCGGCTTAAAGCTGCAAACTCAAGGATCAAGGTACCTGCACAAGCTGTACAGGTATCGGTTTCTGTTCCTGTTCGTGCTTCTGGATGTCTTACACCAAATTTTAAGTTAACCTAGAGAAAAACAGAGATTATCATCTTTATTTTTACTAGCCGAAAGAACCAACGCTCCCGTGATAGGTCTGCAGAGCAACTATATAATCTATGCTCTATAATCTATAATCTAAGGCAAGAAAAAAGAACACCCAGCCCCCCTCAGTTTTGTTCTGCTTCACCACCCACCGTCAACTCCAACACGCGCGTAAGGTTACCCAGCAGCACCCTCAGCCCTCCAAAGCCAGAACCGGCCCAAACACCAGCTGCCTGGTTCACCGGACACTGCAACGGAGGAACACCGCCCTGCCAACCTAATGCCAGCAAGGCACGTACCAGCAAGCCAGGAGGGACTCGGGAGCTCCCCAGTACTCGGGGAAAAGACCCTCAACATCTTGGCTTAAAAACTTGTCACTAGAAAAATGTCAGTTTACTGAGCCTGTATTTTTAACTTAGGGGAAAAGTTTCCCATTAAAGCTACTTGTCACAAACTCAGTGGGTGATACACACAGGGAATATTTTTCTGTCATTCAAAGAATACGTACCATGCTTTATTTGAATGTGATGAAACATTTTACATTAAGTGAATCTTTTTAGATTACAGCTACCTTTACCCTCTCAAAAAGATGGATGTAGACCATGAATATTAATCAGTTTTGCACTAAATTCACAAGCATATGCTTGCAAGCTGATCTTTCACTGAGAGATTTGTAGCAAAACAAAAATTATTCTCCTCAGCTACTTGGTGGTACCTATCGTAGCAGGGAGCAAGACAGGAGTGTTTAGACAAGGTTTCCGCTATTACTATTTACGCACAACAGTGTACATGAGTATTTTCAGAGCTAGAAATGTAGGGATTCAGAGCGCCTAAAACTGTATTTTAAAATACTAGGTAGCATGCATTACAAATGAGCAATGTATCAGCTTTTGAGTGTTTATGCACTTAATATAGAAGTGATTCTAGAAACCCAGATAAAAAACAAAACAACAAAAATTCTGCTTACAGAAGTAATTATGAATTGCAGAAACCAGCGCACTTACTCTTGGGTAAGGGAGACCACTAGTGGTGTTAAAAGCAGGTAAAAGCTTGTAGCCCAGCTCCTTTGCCATGTGCAGCAGTTCACCGTTGTACCACTGCATATATTCACCTTTTTCTTTCAGCATAATGGCCACCGAATGCCCACCCAGGAGACCTCTAAACACAAGAGAAATAAACCACATCTCAGTAGGTATTCTCATCTCAGCGGCAATGCAGCAATCTCCACGATTCAGACCACCATGTGAATCACTACGCTGTGTTCAGAAATGCTGAGCAGATGCGACTCCAGTCACAATCAAGGCGAGCCAGCGGTATTTTGGAAGCAATTCTCACTGTTCAGAACTCAGTCCTAAACCACAGGGGAATCACTGATCCATTGATACAGTTATTCAAGAAGAACAACCAATGTCTCTAAACGGCCCGTAAGAGCGTAAGGCTCACCTGCTCCGCTCCCGCTGTGAGCAGCAAGCCGGAGCCGAGACCTCCAGAGGTCCCCTCCAACCTGGAACAATCTATTACCCTAAGTATCAAAATGTTCCATCTGTTAAATCAAGTATTGAACAGGGTAATTTGTAAGGCAGTTTCCATTAAGAAAAACACTGCTACGTCCGCATGCACAATTTTTTTTAATCAAAAAAAAACCAGGCCTGCAGCAGTGGGCTGGGGTCAGATTGATTCAGTGCCACTGCTTCGGTTCCTGCCCAGCATTTCAAAACCCTTCTTAGGGCAGGTGCTGAGCTACACTAAGTGACAAAGGCACAGCTGTTTTACACAAGAAGAAATAGCACAGAGAGCTATATCTTAACGACATTTAGCAGCAAAATACATATTTAAGAGTTTTGAAAACACAAAAGTTACTCACCCAAGGACTCTTATGTTGGTTTCAAAGACAGATACAACTATGTCGTTATCTAAATTAACATCCTTTATTACTTTTTTTACAGCCTCTTCAAACTCTTTGGTTTTATTTAACACCTGGAATACAAAGGTACGAAGATTTTTAGGTTCCAACAGTCACACTCATGTGTAGAAGAACAAGTGCAATGAACTAAAAGCATTTAACATGCCTCAGACTGCCATCCTGGTCCCGCAGGGGCAAGCTCTGACACAGCGCTAACAGACACTGGTATTACTGTTTATCTCACGAGACACAAGAGAGAGAATAAAAGCTGTGCGCAAAGAATACAGTCACTGAGAATGTACCCAAACTATTACCCAGGGGTTTATTTGTGTGCTCCCTCCCCTGCTCCCGCGCCCCAGTGGCAGCGCGGCAGGGCTCGGTGGGCTGCAGGCTGTATCTGTGCTGGCAGAGCAGCAAAGCCTGGCCTGCCCGTGTCTCCCACTTCCCAAGCCTCCTATCCAGGGACTAAGGAGCCGCATCCCAAGGTCCGTGAATCCTTCCAGCAGCCTTCCTCCTCCCAACAGTTTTCTCCTTGTGCCCGACGAACAGCCCAGGCACTTCCTACAGATTTTCTTTCACACTGACTTTCTTTTAGTTCCATCAGTCTTTGAGAATCTTTGTGACTTATCCAATTTGTTACCGTGAGTGTCTTTAAATTCCACAGGTGCTAATCCTGCTCTAAAACAAGAAGACAATAAACAAACCACAATAATCCGAGTGTCTGAGAGAGACTGGGAGTTCCAGGTTCCACGTTTTCACCGTTTGCGGCCCCGACTCAAGAGAGCCAGGGGCCATCTTGCAGCACACCATAAGAAGGGCGTTACATTATTCACATACCTAATTAGCACTGCCAGGACTTTCAAAACCATTTAGATTTGTTTACCTGGAGACATGAATGGCCAAGAATTCCTGATTTCCAAACTCTGTTTTATGATGACAAAATATTTTATGATGACAAAACATGTCGGAGGGATTAAAATCTAACAAGAAGTAATTTATTAATGATTGGAGTCCTTTAACAAGAGATGGAACATAAGTTTGGCAACATTTCCTGGCAAACATGCCCAGGGTTGCGTTTTTCTTTAACGTATATTTATGGGCATACAAATTCATCCATGAAACATGTACATACAATTTAAAAACATAAATAATTCAGTAAGTATTAGGAGATGTTCACCTATAAGTCAGCATGCGGCTTTAGACTATAATGGGAAGCCAACTCATATATTTGTGTTAAGTTAGAGCCCAAGAAAAGCAAGGTAGGAAAGCATCCATGAAATGCAAAGGAACCGGTCTAGCTCTTTCTGCAGCACACCCCAAACACCACCAACGCAGCCCTTGGAAGCTCTCACGAGCAACAGCCACTTGGAACAGGTGCCCAGAGATCAAAGGTGAAGACAGATTACTGGCTTTTATCTGTCATTTAACGAAGCAGCAATCTAAACACAGCTCTGAACAGCAGAAGGCAGTTTTTTTGTTTTATCAAAGTTTATCAATAGATAACACCTACCACAAGAGTGTCCAAGGTATCAATCAAGGTCAGTGAAAATCTATGAAACAAAGTTTAAAACAGATTTACTGTAAACTTCTATGTGTAGAAATGAAATTATTTTAAATAGTAACCAATACCATGGAAGAAACTAAATCCTCACAGATAATCAGGTGCTAAAAAATTCGTTGTATACAATGTGTTTAATATCAAAACACCCTGCTACGTTTCTTCCCCTTGTTACTGACCAGAACAGGAGCTGACGGAAACAAGCCATGATTACAAAGCTACCTTTAATTACTGCAAAGCTTTCAAAGTTCTCGGAAGCAAATAAAGTTTTTATTTCTAGTCTCCAAACAAATCTACTACAAGATCCAACGGAATGGTTCAAAGTCCGTTTCCAGTATCGTTTTCTCTTTCCTTTTTTTTTTTTTTCCTCCTCATGAAGTATGCTGCCTTACTCAGCGTGATAACAAAAACGTTTATTTAGGAAGATGAAAAATCATTCCAAGCAAAACTTCTCCTCTCAGAAACTGTTCTAATCGCCTACTTCAGAAAAAGCTGCAATTTGCTGCAATCCAACTCAGTGTTCGAGTCCTGGTAAAAGACTACAGAGCATGCTGTTATTTGGTTACGGAGCTTCTCAGTGGGACAGAACAGATGAGGAAAAGGTACGACATAGGGCGGGGGGGGCTGAAGGTACGCAGCAGCTTCTGTCCTCGGACCCAGTGACCAGACCAGCGCTCTTCAGCCTGCACAGCCAAAGTGTCATTATACGAAAACTTTAAAATTGCCCGTGGCATGAAGGAAGCGATGAGAATCTGCTGCTCGCAGTTTCTCACAGTAATTTCACCTGGTGCCCTTCAGCACTAGCAAGCAGCAGACTTAAAGAACTACTTACTCCGTAAAAAAAAGAACATCAAGTCAGATACCTACTGCGTGAAACAGGAGAATCACAATAAGGCTCGTCCTGTTCATGTAGTCTTCTCTAGGCTTGCTCTAGTGCATACCAAGTGGAGCGGACCTTTGGCCTAACCCGACAAAATTGCTCTTATATTGAGAAACACATACCACGCAGAGAGTAGAACTTACAGAATCTGTTGGTATTAAAATTGGAAACTTTGGAAAGAGTTACAACTGCCTACTGCAGAACTTACAACTGCCTACTGCAGAACAAGCATCAAGAATTTAAGCAAATGTGCCATGTTTGAGACCCTGTAGGCAACATGTGACGGTGCATGGCGAGCAATTAAAATCCTAATTAAGTGGTCATATATTATGATATTCTTTAATTTGTAAAGATACAATGGCTTTCAGTGAGTGTCATTCTACAAGAGAGAGAGATTGACTAGTGGCTACGCACACCTGCATAGCACACAGACAGCCTTTCCCACACCACAGCCCTCGAGCAGGCTGGTGGGCAAGCGTGCTCCCTCGCCTTCCAGGGCAACGGCACCGACCACGCCGTCTCGCCCCGGCATCTGGTGAGCGCAAAGGCTTGCACGGAACAGGACCGACAAGCCAGCTGGCAAGAGAGAGCGTTATATAAGAAATCTGATAAATAATAACAATATAGCTGATTGCTAGGAACAGAAAAGAAAAAAACACACTGTTCAATGCACCTAAGGGGCTGAAAGGTATTTCTACTCAAATGATAGTATGCTACTACGTAAAAAAAGGTTATTAAAAAGAATGCACGACCAGGGTTAAAAACACATTTTCTTGATGGTTCTTTCTCATCAGCCACATCTCTCAACACCTCCATGGCAGCAGGCTTACATAGGAATCTCTAGACTAAGGAAATCTTTTACATAACAAAAAATAACCAAAATTACATGCTCAATGTCACAGAGTGAATTAGAAGTAGTATTTAAGACTAGGACTCCAGCTTCAATTAACACTATTCTGCTTAGGGACACTAAGGAGTTATACCTATTAAAAAAAAAAAAACAAACCCGGACCTGTTTGTTACTAAGTATTTGCTCTACAACCAAACAGCACACATACAGACAACATACCTTGTGGAACAAAAAAATTGATTACAAACACATTTAGAACAATTCAACTTTGTCTTTGATTGTTCGATTTAAGATGGAGAAAAACAAGGCCTTAAATCTACATTTTGCCAGCCAAAGGATCAGTATTTTGTATTATAAGCTGTCTTAAAAGGAAAAATATGAAGAATTTCCATGTCTGATATAACGCTTTATACTTTGGCAGAAGCCTCAGGCTACCACGCACATGATAATCACTTGACTAATTATGTTTCCAGAGAGCTTTCTACTGAAAAACAAAATAAGAAAGCATTTTAAATATCCCTTAAGGCCAGCGTAACGGATAGGTTTACTGGTCTGTGCAGCTTATAACCCCTATTTAGTTGTCAAGCTTACTAATACCATAAATGACAGCTCACATTTGGAAGGCTTTCCTATGGAAAATACTTGGAGAATGATTTAAAAACCCCTATCTTTGGATCTCACTCAGGTCAACCCTCTGTTTCCAAGTGAGGTACGATTTCACATCAGTTAACATCATGGGAGGAAATAATAAATGTCTTTCTGCCTAACTTGCAAGAAGCTCACAATTAGAGCTTTCTTTCCAATAGCTTCTCGCCCACCCCTATAAGGGAACTTACGAGACAAATTATGGATTTGTCTGCACCCACAGCATCTTTTTCAACAAATGTAAGTTTCTGGACATGTCAACTGAAGAAACAAGTTTTATGGGCTGCAAATTGTACTTAGACTCCTAGATGTTTACATGAGACAGTAACCATTTCAAACACTGACTTTCCCAGGGCATCATCCACATCCCCTCGACTCGGTTCCTGACCCCGTACTCGTCCACGACAAGTTAAAGGCATGAGCTCATCAGCTGGATACGCGTGCTCCTGTGGGGAAACAAGACACAGGAGTAAGTCATCACAGTTTCAGCCGTTTCAGCAAACCCTCAGAGCCCGTTACAAGGAAGCCCAATTACCCCGTACATCACAAAAACTGCATGACAACGGCAGACTCTCTGAGGTGGGAAGAGACTTCTGAAGGTCTTCTTGTCCAGCCCCTCTGCTCAAGCAGGGCCACCTAGACCCAGTTGTCCAGAACTGCATCCAGACAACTTTTGAGTCTCTCCAAGTATGGAGACTCCAGAACTGCTCTGAGCAACCTGTGCCAGTGCTTGGTCACTGTCATGGTGAAAAAGAGCTTCCTGATGTTTCAGTCTGGGCCCGTTGCCTCTGGTCCTGTCACCGGACACCGCTAAGAAAAGCCTGTCCCCGTCCTCTTTACAGCCTTACTTCAGGTTTTTATCTACATGGGTAAGATACCCTGGAGCCTTCTCTGCTCCAAGCTGAGCAGCCCCAGCTCTCTCAGCCTGTCCCCCCCAGGAAAGAGCTCCAGCTTCTCCACCATCTTTGCGGCCCTTCGCTGGGCTCTGCACAGTGTGTTTACACCTCTCTTGTACTGGGGAGGCTGGAACTGGATGCAGTGGTCCAGGTGTGGCCCCACCAGAGCTGAGCAGCGGGGAAGGACCCCCTCCCTCGACCTGCTGGCGATGTTTTGCCTAAAGCAGTCCAGGGTCACACTGTGGGCTCCAGGCCACCCTGGTGCCCACCAGGACCCCAGGTCCTCTCCTGCCCAGCTGCGTTCCAGCCGGGTGGCTGGATAGGACTGAGCTGTGGACAGAGCAACAGCAGCTCTTTCTCCTCCTCTCTCTCTCCAATCTCCAAGAGAAGTCTGGAACAACCAACGGCACATCTGAAAAACCCCCACTAATTAACTTCCACAGTTAATTGTGTGCCTTCTGCAACACGGCGCACATGACACTTCCCATTATGTTTCTTAGGCGGAAGTTACCATCTCAAAGATGAGTTTAAAACCTAAAACTAATGCCGGCATTATCAAGTGGTGGATGCTTCGTGGAGAAATTAGATTTTAAACTCACTTTGGAAACATTTCCAGAAGAACACAGGTGACTCAGGGTCACAACCAGTGACAGGTAAGAGAATTCACACAGGTAAAATAAATTGGTGAATCGCTACACAAGGCATAACAAAAAATAACATTAACAAAAAAATGCTTACCAAGACTGAGCCTTTTACAAATATAACTTTTTAAAGAGAGACATTGCTATCGTTTTTTTTGCAAAGCGACGGTTACTTTCCATATTTCTAGCAAAAGCACCCTGCAAAGCAAGCTGTACTGTAACATGATTTCTCATCAGTCAGGCAGAAACAACAGAAGTGGCACCGGTGCCTAAGTCAAGCACACCGAATAAAACACCTGTTCCTGTCCCCACTCCAGCCAACACAAGTCTTGTAGGTTTAAACTACCACCAAAATGGAATATCAAACGAAACGGATGTGAATTTGAATTTCATCACTGCACAATAGGTTTACTGAAAAATTTTCAGGGTGGCCACTGGCATTCTAAAGACGAATCTTCAAAGCACCCAGTTTCAGCGAACATGAATGAAGCGCCTCTCCGTCAGCGGTCCAACGTAAGTGACTCGGGATAGAGCTTCTCTCTCGATTTCAG